GATCAATATTGATCGATTGGACATTATGCTGTGAGTTTCGAATTCTCCAACTAACCCACTTAACCAATCGTCCCGTGAGCGTTCATCCCCGAAAGGGAACATATATTTACATAGTTTGAGTCAATGGTACTCTATAGCACAGCCTGTTTTTTCATCGAACTCGAACTCTCTAAACTCATTCATCAACCACCTGCTCTACTGAATTTTACCGGGTTCTGGAGTGCCCGAACTGGCTAACGAAACCATGACTTTAGTAAGACCCTTTTCGGCACATGCTCCGTTCACTGTATCTATTATATACCATCCCTTCGGTCACACTGGTTGAGTTAGACCACTTTTTCCAGGTCCCTGGGATGCACCGGAACCGATTCCTCATTATTTGAAGATTGCTTTTGTTCCATCCACCTCGACTCCCACAAATGTATCTTCTACTCATCCGCTGAGTCCTTGATTTGGTAGTTCGGGTAGAGCACACTAAGGAGCGAAGAAGACTCAATCAAATTTTTCCCAGTTCCTGAACAGCTCTGGAACCAAACTGCAGTGCTTAGAAATAAATAGCTCATAGTTGACGACAAAAAGCTAATCAGCACACCACAGACGCGCTCAACTTCTCTTCGGATGTCGCGATCTTCATCTTGAATCAGCCTAAATTTGTGAATTCCTGAAGCAAATACAGCCGTCAGTCTGGTCATCGCTAAGAGCATCATTATTGATCTTCCCCCCCCCCCTTTCACAGAACTATGGGGTATTTTTCTACCAAATTGTGTGTTTTTGTCGTTGTCACCACTCACTTTCGAGGCTTACTCCACCCACTGCACGCGTATCTGAGCGAAGCTCTTATGCGCTTCTCACATCTTTGCCCGTGCCCTACACATCCCAGCCTGACCCGAACCCTCAAGGTGGCTTTTCAGGCAATACCAAATTTCCATTCGAACAACCAAACAAACAAATGTGAAGTAGGGACTGTTGGAATTTTCAAATACGTCGAAAAAAGGACGTTAATTCAGTGAAGTTTCTTTCGTAAAGACTATTTCAATCAGCATTGAATAGCAGGGCGTAGCCAGCTGTAGAGGTTTGGAGATGTTCATGGTATGTGTCCTCACTCAGCTTCCTGGTAGACTGACACGTTTCCCTCAAGAAGCCAAGAAGTGAAGGATTTTTCTGGTGTTGAACAAGATAGCCAACCAACAAAAGTTTGAAGATAGCTTTTTTTTCATTAATTTTTCCAACACTTTTGGCTAAAAGGGGTCTCTAGCTCTCAGTAATAGGCATCAGCCCTTTCTGGAATCACGCAGCCTCAGAATGATTTTCATTCGTGAAAATCATTGCAAAAGGGTTTGGATTTACGGTATACTTACCTGAAGCGCATCGGCTACGTCTGTCTCTAACACGTATTCGGAAAAGCCGATTCTAGGAAAGAACGTTACTACATATAGCGTGAGCGAAAATTTTACTCTGCACAGCAGGTACACTTTGATTTGAATAGCAGAAATATAGGTCGTTCTCTTTTTATGAGCATACCATTTTGCAGAGCGAGATAACTTCCAAGAGTAGCTAATTAGTAACTTCCTGCTTGCTTCAGTCATCTTTTGCCCGAATCAGAGCCGTGCTTACCCAGTCATTTCCTCTTGGAATGGGTGCAGTTCCGCGCCAACTATCAACAGTGGCAGAATAATGTGTATATCCGGAATAGATGCAGTTCCGCGTCAACGACCAAATCACCCGATAGAGAATACTACGTGGAGATTCGAGGGGATTTCGAATGCTCAGACATTAAAACACCTTTTCGCCCCATTAAGGACTTAGTAGCTACGGGGTAGTGAGTGACCTCGCTTTCCCCG